CTGCAGGGCAGGGCCGCGACGTAGGGCAGCAGGGCAGGGCCGCGATGGGCGGCAAAGCAGGGCCGCGACGGGCGGCGGGTAAGGCCGCGACGGGCGGCTGAGGCAGGCCGCGACTTGGGGCGGCAAGGCAGGGCCGCGACGTAGGGCGGCAGGGCAGGGCCACGACGGGCGGCAGAGCAGGGCCGCGACGGGCGGCGGGTCAGGCCGCGACGGGCGGCGACAAGGCAGGGCCGCGACGGGCGGCTAAGTCAGGGCCGCGACGGGCCGTTAGGGCAGGGTCGCGACTGGCAACAGCAGGGCAGAGCGCGCGACGGTGCAGGTGAGGCAGGCGCGACAGCGCGCTTCGGGCAGGTAGGAAAACTTTTCGTGGTGGGCCCTAAAAAAATCGTTCCCACTAGGGAACCTGCTCTGAAACCATGTGAAAGTAAAAGTGAGGAATGGATGAACTAGCAAGCAGGTGGGTACAAGTAGGAAAACCTTGAAGTGTTGTACCCCATATGAACTACCCCACTACAGCCTACACAGACTATAGCATATAAGTTTGACAGATCTCGTTGAAATCCCGCGGGCACACGTTCGCGGCTTCAGCTGCGCTCTTACGCTTACGCGCCATGGCTAACAGAGGGGTAGAGATCTAGCGAGAAGGAGAAACAAGAAACGAGAAATGAAATTGACAGAAGGTGGAGAAGAAGAGATCCAGGATGGTTGCTGGACAGAAGGGTCGAGAAGGGGAGTGGGTACGTCGGGCAGGCATGTGTGAGACTGGGGGAGGAAACCCCTTTCGAGGCTGCCCAAACGTGGCGGTTTCTTTTCCCGCTCGAATCTGTCACCTCGTCGTGCGTCCAGATGCATGCGGTCGAGCCGGACAATTCCTTGACATTTCGACCCGCGTGCGATTTCGGGGACGTGACGGGGCCTCGTCCAACTCGTCCGCGACACTAGCGCAATACACGCTCACCAATGTAAAATATAGTAAAAGTCGCATTAGGGCGACACGCGTTTGTGACATTGTACGTTATATGTTGTTTTTTACGCGTCACAATAGGTTTGAGACACAAATGTCGACACAGGAATGTACCCAAAGTGAGCTTCGAGGGAGTTCACTAACTCCCGCTTCGCACGTGTGACAGAAGTTTACTCACTCCGACGTGGCCTAGTCCGAGTAAGCCAAAATGAGCAAACGATCGCTGGACCACCTACTCGGAGTACGACTCGAAGTGGCCCTTCAGGAAGTTTCGTTTACGGGCAAACTTAGCTCCGCGGAGGTACTCCGCTTACTCCAGCATTTTGGGAGAGTACGCCTCGCTTATTCGGAGTAAGCCCTCGAAGGGTGAACCCGATAACACCGCAGATTTTGTTTTTTCTTTTGCGAGCGTTAACCACCTCTTACACCTTCAAAAAAATCCATTCCCCCCACTCCTGTTGCAATCGATGTCATCCGCTCGCACATCTTTCTCGATGTTACCCCTGTGGGAGAATATTTTTTCTTGAGGACGAGTTGGGCAATATGGGCCGAACGCAACAGTGTTTTGAACGAAATCGCGCTCACGACCCTCGCAACTTCCGTACGCGGAGTTGGGAAACTTAAAGGAGGAGATGGGAAGTACCCACCGACACGTGCCCACACGTGTGGGTCGGTGTACTCCTGTTCGAGTGCCAACGCCACGGAAGTTTACTCGGCTTAGGGGCTACCGATCAGGGCCAAGACCCCCCTCCCAAAATTCGAGTGTACATGGTTTTTGTCAAGCTATTATTTGAAAATATAGATGTACTCTGGTCTTAAAAGAAGTGGTGCTGCTATAACGACCACCCTACCCTAGCGTTTTCGGGGGATTTGTAGAAAGTCCACCGGGTCCTGTTACGGGAGAATACGGTATAATTTGAGCAATGCACTGGCAAATTAAACCAGAACCAAATAAATATACCCACCAAGAATCTCAGAAGAAGTGAGGTATGATAGTTGTCAGAAGTTTCCAAAAGAATCAGGATAGAAACTCCACCAATTATCAGACTTCTGCATCCAAATAGCAAAAAGATGCAAAACAAAAATATATATATATACAAAATATGTCTGTACAGTTATTTCCGGATTAAGGTGAGCATGAATGGCAACTCCACCAGTGTTGCATATCTTGTCATATCCAACCTTGTTGGCAAGAATGGTTGCCGGGCTGACAAGGTGAGAAGGGCAGCTTGTTTGGCGCTAGAAGGGCGTCAGTTGTCAGCACAAAAGGAGCTATACTTTGTGGAATTCCAAAATCAACTTCAATCCACAATGCTCGAAACCCCACCTGCAAATGGTACGAGAAGTGTATTAACTAAGTTTCAGGAGCAATATTTACTCCTAAACACTTTCTATCACACAAAAGAAGTTCAACAAGAGCATCAACATGCCTGCAAATGTTGCACAGTACCCATATAACCGTCACATAGTCACCTTCGCGAAGTCGCCCAGTCAGCCACCTTGTGACCCCTCGCTACAGTCACATTGTACAGCGATATTTCAGAAGTAAAAACAAAAGCATTTTCACTATAGTCACCTTAGGAACGTCAGAGATGGTGGAGCTAAAGTACCACAAGCCATCGTCGGGATGGTGGTTGGGCGGCGAGACGGTGTGCAGGAAGAATGGCGTGGCCTGCACACACAGGTCGAACTTGGCCGAGTACGTGCCCGGCACCGTTGGTAGCGGCACCGTGCTGCCACAGCAGGAGGAGGGAGCAGAACGGGTGGGAAGGTGGGGGAAGTGAAACCAGATGGGTCAGAAGATGCGGAGGAAAAGGAGCATGTCCGCACATCCCTGGAACTGTTGTCATTGGCGCCGTGCTGAGAGGGTGGGGCGGTGGGGGTGGGGGAAGGTGAGCAGGTGCGGCAGAGAAAAATTGGCTCAGGCCGAATTTGCCCGCATATGTGCCCGGCACAGCTGAAGGGAAGGGCTTGAGAGGTTTGCAGGTGCAAAGGAAGGAGGGGATGAGCTGCACAAACAGGGCTTATGCCATGGCACTCACCACCCCTTTGCACCACTGACCACCCCTTTTAACCACTCACCACCCCTTGCACCAATCACCACCCTTTGAACCACTCACCACCCTTTGCACCACTCACTACCCCTTTGCACCACTCACCACCACACTTCTCACCACCCCTTTGCACCACTAAACACCCCTTTGCACCACTCACCACCCCTTGGATCCTTGCTGTATCACGAAGCGAAATTCTCGCCGCTCGCTGGCTGTGCGGCCAGTCCTATGAGACACGCGAAGCATGGTGGGGGAAGGGGGGAGAAGGGAAGGGGAAATGGGGAATGGGGGATTGCGGGTGGGGGGAGAGGGATTGTGGGGAGGGGAAGGTGTGCAGGGTTTGGGTTTGAGAACGACGCGGAGTTGAATGGAGAGAAATAAAGCAACTGGTGTCTTGGAAGCAACAAAGAAGTTGAGAAACATGCACTCCAGATGTACCTGCCAATAGACATCAGCAACGGTCGAACTCGAACGTGTTCCTTTTGAACACCCCTCCAACTCGAACCGAACATGTTTGGTTCGAGTCGAACATTTTTTTTTAAAAGTGGCTGTTCGATGTTCACCCATGGGGGCGAGCAGGTAACTGTTCGACTCGAACACGAACGTGTTCGGTTCGAGAAGTCCTTCCCCCCCTTCCACAGACCCTTCCCTCTCCCTCCACAACCCCCTCCAGGTCCTTATCCTCGAGCAACGTGGGGGAGGGGGGAGGGATGATTGGTGCCGTCACACATCGTCGTCATTCCCATACTCACGGTCACGTGCCATCACCCACTCACGTGCCATCACCCCACCCACATGCCATCACTCGTATCACATGTCATCAACTATAACCATAAACCCTACCCTACGCTCCACTCACGTGTCACCCCACCCACTCACGTGTCACCAACCCACTCACGTGTCAGCAACCCACTCACGTGTCAACAACCCACTTACGTGTCACCAACTCACTCACGAATCACCAACCCACTCACGTGTCACCAACCCACTCATGTGTCACCACCCCTCTCACATGTCATCAATCATAACCCTAAACCAAACCTTAAGCCCCCCACTTACGTGTCATCCCTGTTGTGTGATGCCATCATATGCATTCACGTCTGTCTGCACTCCATCCTATCTTTCTACCTTGCATGCGTGGTGTGCGCATTTGTAAAAACAAGTGTTTGATGTGGTTTGGACTTTGTGAGTGTGTGTAAATGTTATTTTGCTTGAGCAGATATCTGAGAATATTTCTGTGTTCAAGAGCTTTCCGACGAATCAAGAATCCCCTCAATTGGACCAACAATGAGAAAGCTACGAACGATCGAAATTCGTATGCATATGATATATTGTTGTGGCAACTATAAGAATTTGTGGGGTGACTCTTTATGGGGTACAGTACAGACCATTGGGGGTCGGATAATTTCGTCACTCAACTGTGGTTGCTGGCAAGTGGTTGAGGGAAACCAAACCAGGTTGGCAAGTGTGGCAAAATTGGGTGAGGTGGATTGCATGGGTTGGTAAAATTACAAGATTGAAAATTACAAGAGTGAAAATTACAAGGGAGGGGAATTTGTGTGCCTATGGGGTTTTCTTGGTTTGAGACTCCCTAAGGACCTTCCATCTCGTCCTCCTCTTGTTCTCCTACCTGCTTTGTTGTTTCTCTAATTCCTTGTGTGATTCTTGGAAGACTTGTGAGTTTGAGTTAAGTTTTAGCTACAGGCTACAGCATATCCCCAGTGCGCCGAAGTTCATAACTCGATAAATACTTCACCTTACTACGACGATTCAACTTGGGAATGATAGCCACTGTTAAGGGCTACAACATAGTTGATTTTGGTGAAGTTTTAACGGTTAGCTATTTGTTAGCAACGTTTCTTGTGAAGACGACATCTTTGTCCAGAAACAGTCCAACGTTTTGAGCTATTTCGGCCTCTTAATCTACATCGACCCCGTCCTTAATCCTAACAAACAACAACCCCACTCACGTGTCACCCCACTCACGTGTCATCCAGTGCCAGCACTTCATCGTTCGCTGCACCGACGAGCAGCTTGGGCATGGTGAGGCGCTCCCTGAAATAGTATGGATCCATGTCCCCCTGCAGTCAGCCAGGCATCGGGTCATGGGGTCAAGGGGTTGTTTAATGATGATAGTACTTGGAGAATAATAGATTGGGCATGGTGAGGCGCTCCCTGAAGTAGTATGGTTCCATTCATGTCCTACTACAGTCAGCCATCCATGGCGCGATGTGAGAAGGTTTGTGTCCTCATGCAGTGAGAAAGAGCATGAGCGGAGTGGAGACGGAAAAGAATGTGGGTTGGTTGGCAGCAAGAGCCATGTCGAAATATGGGCATGCGAGGAAAATAACCAGCTTGGCAAAGCCAGGCAGACCAGCACACGCCCAAGTCCAACCACTCTCAAATGGTCCGTTGTATTGATTCAGCAGGGGTACAGACATGCAGTTTGATTCATGATACCCTTAGTCCCTTTGACCCTTTAACCCACCCCTCTGTCCCCCCCCCCCCAACCCCCCCCCCCTCCCCCCCCCCCCCCCCCTGAGTGACCCCCTCTACCCCTCCAGCGTGTGGAGGATGTCCCCCAGGTGCAGCGGCCATGGGTCCGCTGCCATCTGAGGGTGCGCTGCCTCAATCCCAGCCCTGGCCTTGGTGTGCAGGGCATTCGCCTGGGAGCGCTGGAGGGCCACTAACCAGCGCTGGAGGGCCACTGACCAGCGCTGGCTGAAGTGGCAGGCCATCTTCTTGGCGGATTTCGCCAAGGGGTTGGACCTGAAACGGTTCCTCGCTGCTATTGTGGCCAGCAGCTTTAGGAACGCCGTCGTGGGGGGTGCGTTTGCCCCGTAGGTCTCGACGGCCAGGGCACAGAACACCACGTGTTCGGTGTGTCGGTAGTAGTCCCTCTCCTTCCGTCTCTGTGCCTGTCTTGCAGCCCAGCCTGGGGGTTTGCGGGCTGTGGGGTCCCGGCTCTGCAGCACAGGGTTAGTGATAGTTGTGTCTGTGATCCAGGTCTCTCCACTATCGGGGTCACGTACAATCACATCGGCCTTCTTCGGGTCGTCCGGCGGTGAGTACATGGCGTTCTCCAGGTATACCACCAGCTGTGCCTCCCTTGCCATTTTAGCCACGATTAAGGCCAGCTGGTTATGTGTGCATGTCCTGTCGTGGCCTGTGCTGCAGCAAAGTAGGTGGTTGGGTAGGCTGCAGTCGGCTACGAGTTGTTCGCACTCGCACACGGTGGGTACATTCTGTCGGATACCCATGCGGAAGGCCAGGGCCGCTCGGAATTGGCCCGGTGAGAAGCAAAGGCCCGGGGTCAAAGGTAGGGCTTGCAGCCCCACTCCCGCTCCCTCGCCTCTCAGGCTGACAAGGCGGAGTGTGTGACCCATCTCGGAGACTGACTGGATTGTGCGTGACTCCTCTGTCAAGGCGTCGGCCTTTGCCGCGTGCACCTCCTGAGAGAGGGCGCGTTGCAGCTGGTCTTGGGACGGGGTTTGCTGATGCTCCTGGAGGTTTTGTAGTGCCAGCGGTGGCAGGCGCCCCTCCATGTCCTGGATGGTTACCGAGTGCGCTGCAGACGGCTGCAGGGCGTTGTTGTTGGCCCCCAGCGCCGCGGTCGCTGGTAGGTCAAGGGAGCGGAGCAGTTGTAGCGCTTCTGTTGTTGATGCCAGGTAAGCCGGTGCTGCTTCTGTTGTGGGGTCCGTAAGGCCCAGCCCGCCCAGGGCGACTGGAAGATTTGCTTGTCGGAGAAGGAAGTTGATCTCGGCTTCTCGACGTGGCGGTTGAATGCTGGCGGCGGTCAAGGCGGTGTTCAGCAATTCGGAGCACCATGCGTGCCATTCCGAGAGAGGTAAGACGTCTGCTGGGGTGGTGCGCAGTATGTAGCCGATTCTGCGGCTGATGCAACGAGACAGTAGCAGGAGGGCGTGTTGTGGGTGGATGGACGCCAGAGAGCCCAAGGGAGCTGCCGCGTCTGTCAGGGTACTGCGGACAAAATCAGAGAAGAAGCTCTGCGAGCCCACATGACTTCCTAGCACCCGTACCCCCTCGTGGGTGAGGGGTAGGCCCTCGGGGAGCACGTCACCTCCAAGCGGCGTGGAGGACCACGCCGATGACTTCCTGAAGTTGCAGGTGAGGCCATCCTGTGCCAGTAGCGGCGTGAGCACCCTTTGCGCGCCGAGCGTCGCCGTTGCTGGTCCTATCATGGTAATCTCATCTGCGTATGCTAGGACCGTGAAGTCAGGGTGTTCCGCTGCTACACGCCTGAGGTGTTGCTGGATTGACGCAGCGAATAGCAGGGGTCTGAGGGGATCCCCCTGCCTGACTCCCCTTCCGCTGATGAGTGCCGTTGAGCTCAAGCGCGGATCTAGCAGCAGCGGTGAAGGTGTTGCGTAGAATGAGCGCGTGAATGGGATGAGTGGAGCTAGCGGGGAGTTTGTGAGTGCGTTGAAGAACGCGCTCCTCTCTACAGAGTTGAATGCGTTCTCAAGGTCGAGTTGGAGGACTAGGCTGGAGGGTTGCGCTGAGGTGAGGTCCCTGACTGCATGGATGACAAACTCAGCCCGGCCTGGGACTGCCACGCCAAATTGTTGAGGTAAGAAAAATCGTCGTGTTTCCCCTTGCAGTTCTGAGAGAGCCACTTTTGCTGCCAGCCGAAGCAGGCATTCCCCTATCGCGATAGGGCGTACCCCCCCCCCCCCCCCCCCCCCCCTCCCCTCCCCCCCCCCCCCCCCCTGGTTTGACAAAGGCTATGAGGCGGGATGGTGAGAGTAGTGCTGCCAACTCAGTGGAGAGATTCGTCGAGAGAAGGTGTGTTACGGCGAAATGGAGGTGCCCCAGTACCTCGATGCTACTTAGGGTTGGGTCGCGGTAGTGTTCAAATGTTGACCCCGACGGACCAGCCCCAATTCCGCTGGGGCATTCCCCGAGGACGTTTGAGAAACTTTTCGCGGTGGTAAAAATTTGCGTGGGTGTGGTGTAGGTGTCGACCTAATCGGGCAGGTCAATTTGGGGTTGGGGGTGTTTCGATTCCAACTGCTGCAGTGTCGCGATTGTCGCAGGAGCTGATGGCGAGGGTTGAAGGGCAGCTAACGCCTTTCACAGGTTACCCCGTTTCACCAGCCCTTCCGCACGTGAGCAGATTCCCAGGGGGTCACGTTGGTGCTGAGGTGGCTCGGCTTGGTGCAGGGACCCCACGTAGTCATTGTAAAGTTGGGTCCCAGTGGCCACATCTGAATAGACGCATCTGAGCTCGCAGCACCTTCCACCTAGAGCTGGACCTCCTGCTAAGTCGTAAAGTGAGACATGGCAGGAACATGAGGACCCGCCATGCTCCCGCGCAGTTCGGCAGCTTGGAGATCCGTAGTATGGCAACCAGCATACAGGTAGGGTAGTCGCTTAGGATCTGCGGCGGGAGGCGGCAGACAATCGGCAGGTGGGTGGTCGAGGTTAGAAGCGTTGAGTCCCAGCTCATCGCGATCTCGAAGAGATCCTCCCGCGAAGCCAGCTGGGACACCGATAGGGCCTGGTCCGGAGGGGGCCTGGTCCGCGGTGCTGTCTGCGGCCAGTTCCTCTCTCCTGCTGCTGCGCCTGCTCCTCTCCTGGTTCTGTGCAAGGTGAGTCGGGGTTGTCGGGTCGCCTCAGATCTGACGGTATATAACCGTCCCCACTCCCCTCTGTGTTTATATCGATGTTTCTCCCCCCTTGCGCTGATGTTCCGCCTCTCGCCCCGCGTCTAGCGAACGACTGACGTGTGACTCGTTCCGCCGGCTCCCCCAACCAGATTGGGTTCGGCAGTTGGCGGGGAGGTCCCCTTGCCGTTTGGCCTGCTCTCCTCTGTCCTCCGCGCGCTCCTCGTCGCGCGCCTCTCCTCCGCGTGCTTCCCCGTCCGCTCCGCGGTGTGGCTGCCACAGGTGCCGCCTGTCGCGCCTGGGAGGTCGGCGTTGTCGGCTCCTCTCGTGCTGGTGTGGCGCCTTAAGCGTGGGCCAATGGATTTCCTTGGCCACTGGGCCGCGATTGCACCGCGGAGAGCGATCCCGCTCCACGTTTGCTCCCTCTTGCGCGCCCTGCCGCGAGCGTGCCTGTTGCTCCACCGGCGTCCGCTGATCAGATCCGTCGCCGCTTCGAGGATCTGCGGCGCGAGCTGGCTCCACGCGGGGGCAGGTCCTCACGTCAGAGGGAGCCCGTGCGTGCGGGGTCCGTCGCGCGATCCGGCGCAGAGGCTGTGGCACACCGGGAGCGTTCGCCTCGACATCGTTCATCGGCGGCTCGTGACGATAAGCGGGAGAGCCGCCGCGACGATCGTCACGCTGTGTCTCGTTCGCCGAGGTCGCCTCGTTCGCCTCGTCGCGTGGCGTCACGGAGCCGGTCCCGTGACCGCCGCTCGCATCATCATCGTTCGCCCGCTCACTGTTCCTCTCGTCAGCGTTCGCCTGCACGCCGCGCGTCTGGATATCGGTCCCCGGCTCCGCGTTCACCCCGTCCTGCAAAGCCCCAACGGCTCTACTCTCCTCGTCGCGGGGACCGTTTTCCTGACCGCCAGCGTCAGCGGGGCCCGTCTTGCCAGCAGTCACCTGTGCGCTCGAACGGAAGCGGACGTAGGCGTCGTGGGTGACGGGGAGGTTACGGTCGTGACGGAACTGCGCGTCCAGCGCCGTCCGCAATGGAGCGCGTCCTGAAGAAGTTGGACGGTGTGGAGAAGGCTCTCCACAGCTCACATACGGGGTCGTCATCGCAATCTGCTCCTCCAGCTGCTCCTGTCGTTCCCCTCGCTGCACTCCTCCCCCACAACCCTGTGGGTTCCCCGGCGCGCTCGGATCGGCTGCTGCCTGCGGGAACTGGCTTCGTGGGCGCGGGTGGCGGGGACCCGTGGGCCCAGTTTGTTCCGCTACGTCCCCTCCCTGCTCCTCGTGATCTTGCCGTGTCGGTCCGCCGAGCTCGCGCGTCTGCGTTCCTTTTGCCGATGAAAGAAGTGCCCACGGTGACCCTGGCGCACTTGTGGTCGCTGGCGGAGTGCATGCTGAGCCTTGAGCTGATTCTTATGGAGTCCCATGGCTCCATGTCGGTGACCCCACCGAGCACGTTCTCTCAGATGCCGCGAGCAAAGTGTCACGCGGCGGCGTCAGCACTATTCGCGAATGTATCGCCACTGCAGGTTGCGCCCTCGCCGGGAGTAGTCTCGGCCAGCCAGCTGGCAGAGAAGGCCCTGGATCTGAAGACGCTTGTAGCAGCTCGCGGAACTCCTGTTGACGTTGTCGGCGCCACCGCGTCAGTGGTCCGCCAGATGTGGTTGACCACGCGCGAAACGCTTGGTGAGCTTGGGGCGGACCGCATGTAGGCGCCCCCCTCACGCGCGTGTAGACCCGCTCCATGTGTTGTTGTCTAGGTGACGATCCATGTGTTGTTTGTTCTTGTTGTCATTCTGAATGTCCTTGGTGTTTTCTCCCTTGTCGTCCCTAACGCGCGGCCGAAGGTCGCGCCCGCGAGCGCCGGCGCGAAGCGCCGAAAATTCCAGAACCAACTGAATGAATGAGGGTGAAGAGGCAACAGAGGCCTTAAATACCCATGGCCAAGGGCAAAAGGCAGAGGGCAGAGGGCAGAAGGGAAGAGGCTATTCCACTCTCTCTCTCTCTCTCAAACACTCCGTCACCCTGAGCTTACAACTAGGCTTTGGAACTGGAGCGACTGCAGCTGGCACAGCTGACGTTACTTGCAGGCACATGCACAGAGCTTGAGAATGACGGGCCACACGACTACTCACTCACTCGTTCGTTACATGGTTACACCATTCTCCAACCCACACTCGCCTCTCTCCATGTGCTTACAGTGAGCCGTAGGAACTCGGGTGACTACAGCTGGGAGGTGACGTTAAAGGTGGCATAGAGCTTGAGGAGAGGGATGAGAGGCCACACGCCTACTCGTTAAATGTGACACTTGTTCTGTGCTTACAGTGAGCCTTTGGAAATCAGGTGACTGCATCTTGGAGGTGACATTGAAGGTGGCGTAGAACTTGAGGATGACCGGCCAGGCACCTAACGAGTCATGCAGGTGTTGCACGTTGCGCCCAAAATCCAGCAGGTCAAAGCCATACGCCACCATGCCCACCACCCTCTGCCAAGGGAAGGAAGAAAATACGCACACACACACACACATACACACAGACACACACACACACACACACACACACATACACACACACACACACACACATACACACACACACACACACACACACACACACACATACACACACACACACATCTGAGGAATGTGCTGCGCACTTGCATGAATGGTTGCTGGTGTTTGGAAAATTAGCAAGGGTGCGCTGATGCGGACCATTGATCCCCATCCCCAAGGTTAAAATGCGGCCGTATTTCTGCCACTGCTCTACGATTTCTCAATGGAGCCTACGTATGAATATAAAATACCATTTTGTACATTAAAACGAACGTTAATTTGAACTTTGCCCATCCCTCTTGGTGATCCCTTGCTGCACTCCGCTGCCACACACTGCTGCTGCACACTGCTGCTGAACTGCTGCTGATTTTTCCACACTAAACAATGCTCCTGCCTGCAACAAGGGAGTGCCAGCAAAGCAATAAAGGTTCAACTACGCATATGGTGGATGAAAGAAAACGTCACCAGAGCAGAGAAGCTCATATATGCATAGATACACTACATTGCGTCTCATACAGAAACGGATTCTGGATCATACATATTGGAACACGCATAGGATGCGTTTCATATACCATGACATAGACGGAAGAAACCCAATATACAATGCACTCTATGGCACGACGTACGTACCATAGACATGACATGCCTAAGAGGTTCAGACACAAGAGCGAAATTGCAAATGCACGGCAAGGCAACATATACCCCATCTAAAATCAGGTTCCCCTCACCATGCATGGAAATTGCAATGGCAGGTGCCATGCAATGCCGTGCAGGTGCAAGTGCAGGTGGATACGACGGGCGTGCCTGAGAAGATTTGAACAAGAATGAATGAACTATGAAATGAAGTGAGTACAAATATGAAACCCTAATTGGTTGTACCCCCTATGGGATACCCCACTATAGCCTACACAACAGCATAAGCTATAATGTTCTGACACACCCCCATAGGCAAAGTGGGGGAGAACAAGGGGTCACAAGACCAGTCAAGCAAAGTAAAGCAAAGCAAGCTCAGGGTGGATCACAAAGTCACCACACAGTCCGAGCACAGGGTCAAGGCCACACGGCCAGTTCACATGCAAGAGTACACACATATATATAAAACTAGACAAGCAAGAGCAGGTATATATATATGTGAGAGTACAGGCAAGGTCAAGAGGAGAGCAAGTGAGGCAAGACGGGCACAAGACCCAGCTGAGTGCAGAAGCGCTGATGATCACAAGGCGGAAGTGCCTTGGTGAAGACATCAGCAGTGTTGGCCTCAGAGGCCACGTACGCAAGCCGCAACTGACCACGTTGCTGTAGCTCACGAGCAAGGAAGTAGCGGAGAGCAATGTGCTTTGTTCTGTGCTCCAGTCGCTGCTCTCGACACAAGGCCAGCATGGCCTTGTTGTCTACGTACAGGACTGGAGGAGAACGAGGCGGCTCTCCAAGGTCGGTCAGCAGGTAGGTGAGCCAGCGAAGCTCCTGTGCAGCCATGGCCCCGGCGTAGATCTCAGCCTCACAACTCGAGCCAAGAACAGAAGACGAGCGAGTAGCCCGCCACGAAACAGAGCCGGAACCAAGGCTGAAGGTGTAACCCTGTGACGACCGCTGCGTAGCCTGGTCGTCAGCCCAAGAAGCGTCCGCGTGCCCAGTGAGGACCACTGGACTCCGCCCTCCAAGCACTAGCCCCATGCCCGACGTACTGCACAAGTAGCGCAACACCCTCTTCGCTGCAGCCATGTGCTCTGGTCTGTGTCTCCCAGGAGCAACATAGCGTGCGAGAATGCTAAGAGGGTATGCAAGGTCAGGTCGTGTGCAGGTCATCAGGTACATGAGGCAGCCAACAAGCTCTGGGTACGGGCCACTCGACTCTACGGACTCATCCGAAGGCAGAGCTGAGAGCGAGTGGCGAGTAGACAGAGGAGTGGCCTGAGGCGAGGAGTACGTGAAGCCGAAGCGCTGAAGGACCTGCTGCACCATGTGTGACTGAGTCAGGGTAATGGTGCGGCGTGCTCTGTCCCGGGTGATCTGCAAGCCAAGGTAGCTGCGCAGTTCACCCAGGTCTGTGCACGTGTGTCTCTTCTGCAGCTCGGACTTCACGTAGGCGAGTCCAGCAGTGTCAGCTGTGGCAAAGACCAAGTCGTCGACGTACACGAGGATGTAGAACGGCGGCAGAGAGGTGTCGGTGCGTAGAAACAGCGACGGGTCGGCAGTAGAAGGAGCAAACCCAAGAGCCGCAAGTGTAGTCCTCAGTGTGTCGTGCCACTCACGTGGCGCCTGGCGGAGACCGTAGACTGGACGCCGGAGACTCCACTGGGTACCAGAAGGGAAAGACCCAGTGAAGCCAGGTGGGCGACGCAGCCAGATCTCCTCGTGCAGGCTGCCCTGCAAGAAAGCTGTGCTGAAGTCAAGAGAGTGCAGCTCGTAGTCACGGTGAGCAGCAACGTGCAGCAGTACCCGAAGAGTGGTCATCTTCGGGGTGGGGGAGAAGGTCTGAAAGTAGTCAACTCCCTGCCGCTGACTGAAGCCACGAGCCACGTAACGCGCCTTGAAGACAGGCGGAGAACCCGGCGGCCGCTTCACCCTGAAGATCCACATGCCACTGACGATGTTCGCCCCAGGAGGGGGGACAGCGTCAACGTAGGTGCCTGTGGACTTCCAGGAAGCCATCTCTGCATCCATAGCTGCCTGCCACTGAGAGGAGTAGGGACCCTCTATCGCCTCCGCGTAAGAGCGCGGAGTCGGGATGTCAAGTGCATCCGGGTCTCCCTCAGGGGTAAGCAGTACGGACACGAGATGAGGTGAGGCAGCTGCCAGACACTGGAACTCCTCCTGCCTGTCCTCAAGGACGTCCGTGCCAAGGGCACACTCACCCCCGACGGACGGAGGACAGACAGACTCAGACTCAGCGACAAGACTAGCAGCGTAGTCTAAGCGACAGCGAGCAGCAAAGTCGACGAGCTCAGTAACGAGAGCAGACGCAGCAGTAGACTCGAAAGAAGGGTCAGTGACAACAGTAGCAAGGAGACGCGTGACAGTAGGACTGGCAGCACGAAGAGAGTCCGACTCCGGGTCGGCAAGAGCAGGAAGAGAGGACTCAGGAGGAGAAGGCAAAGGGGCACGCAGAGGAGCAGTGGACGGACGCAGAGACATCCGGTGCGTGCCAGGGACAGGAGGAGGACGCTGACGCGAACCGCGACCACTAGTGCGAGCAGCACGGACAGGCGACGCAGGGCGAGACGCAGGCTCACGACGCTCAGCCAGACCTCCAGTAGGACCAGTGTAGGGAGAAGGAGCAGGCAAAGGGGAGGTAGGCTGCAACTGTAGCTGGGACGAGACAGGCTGTGGGCACTCTAAGGGAGGAGGAGGACCAGTAGAGGGTGGAAGACCAAGAACCTGCTGCAGGAGTGGCACGAAGTACGGTCGAGGCCGCGCGGCGACGCTAGAAGCAGCCGGGACAGCACCAGAACCCTCAGCAGGAGCACCCGCTCCAGCAGCACCACCAGTAGCTCCAGAACCTCCAGCAGCACCAGGAGCACCCCCAGTAGGACTGCCAGCAGTAGTCTCAGCGCCA